ACCACCAGCTTCTCCCTTCTCCCCCTCCTCCTTTACCACCAGCTTCTCCCTTCTCCCCTCTTCCTTCTCCACCAGCTGGTGTCTTAGCTGAAGTGGAAATCGCCATATTTGAGCATATTTGCGAATTGCGCACGCGCATACGCATCCTATTCCTATATCATATATGTCCGAAATTTCGCACACAAAGACGAGCTGTGATCAATCAGTGGCTGTGATCGGGGCAGATCGAGCACCTAAATCAACGATATAAGTATAACGATATAAGTGGATATACATATAAGTGCTCTGATCGGGGTCAGGACGCATGCAAAGTGCGCATGCGCATACGCGTACGCATGCGCATACGCATCCTATCTCAGATATTTTGCAAGTCAGAAATTTCGCGCTACACCTGTCGCAAGGGACTTCGCGCTTCGCGCTCGTGATGGGCGCTTGGCGCACATTTCTCATAATTTTGTTCCAGTTTGGAAGGTGGTCCAGGCGGGAGAATCTCCAGTGTATATAGGAGATGCTAAGGGTTGGAGTCTCTGGTAAACACATCCATAAGACCATAACAAAAGTATTTACATGATTTTATAGGGGAAATGTGACTTTGTGTGTGTGAAAACTTGGCCGATAGGCGTAGGGGGAAAGTAGGTGGAAATGCGCATGCGTGATAGGTAGAAATGAAAATTTTGAGTGGCAGCCCTTGCCCCCTATATAGTGGATAGTGGTTAAGATGGTGGGATGCAGGTTTTGCATTGTCACGTTTCCAAGAAGTACAGTATAGCATAGTACAGCCTGTACTGCGCATATAAAGAAGCAATCGTGCGACTTGCAGCGCATTTGCGGCGTGGCCATCGTAGCGTACTTATTACTGTTAATTGTGGACAATGGCGAATCATGATATCGGGCGCGATAAATTGGTGCCGGCAGAATATTCTCCTTCCGTGGATCCGCCATGCTACCATCCTTCAGTCGACGCTGAGAGTACCTATCCACCACCAGCGGGAGCTTATCCAGCACCGGGAGCTTATCCACCAGCGGGAGCTTATCCACCAGCGGGAGCTTATCCAGCACCGGGAGCTCATCCACCAGCGGGAAGTTGGACTCCTTATCCCGTAATAGTACAACAGCCACCAAGCACCACCAACACTGCAGTGTCAGTAACTGTGTAAGTACCCTGCCATCTGTTGCAACTAGCCAGTAGTAGGATAGAGGCAAAACAAGGTGATTGAAATTCTGCATTTGGAATGCTGTGTCTCGTTGGAGTCGTTTGACGGTTTGTCGTACTACATCCATGCCAAAATCTCTGAACTGAGAACTGTTGACCACATGATTGTCGCGATATTTATCACTATACGTATCAGGATTAACAAATAAAATAGGCAAAAGTAATAGAATGCATGTGTAATTTTACAGGAACCAAAAAGATAAGATCAATCACTGCCTTCACTGCTGTGTTAGCATTTTCTTCTTTCCATGGATTATCGTTTGGATATGTCTGGTAAGAACATTTACGTGGCAATTAATCGGCACTCTCGATCACTTCTGAGAAAATTTCGATCCCGCTAAGGATATTTTGGCACGAAATTGAGTTGTTTAAGGAAATCTAAGGAAGTTGAGAACAAAAATATTAGAAAAAAACAGAAATAGTAGAGTGAAATATGAATATTAACAAGAGTACATAATAGGAGATCTCCTATTAAGTATTATGTAGTATAATGTACTCTTGATGCCCGCGTACAGTTGCCGCAAGGTACTAGAGCTAAGTTCTAAGCTACTATTCTTGAGTTATTGCGACAGGGTTATAGGTGCTCGATCACTATGTTCCCTCACTGAATAGGCTTAATTAGGGCTTTATTAGGCTTTGTATATAGGGACCCTAGGCTTAATCATTGCGCTACCAACTCCAACTCGTGCCTTAATTATCAATTCATAAATATATCAGCAAATTAGCAATTGGTGCATTTTACAACTTTAGGCATAATAATGAAAATAACAACAATAATTAATGATAATATTGCATTATGGATATGTGATTTTAAAATGATGGTAAATTCTCCATTTTCCTATTCGTGTGTCACACATTGTGTGTTTAGCAGCTGTCACTTTGCGAACCTAACTGTTGACTAATTATATACTATATATAATTATAAGGCTGTTTCTGTGAAACCACAGCACTATCTAACTTACTTATTCATTCATCACTTTACCTAGGTTTAACCCGTATTTCTCCACCTATTCATCGTATTTGTCAATTATTTTAGTTATTGTTCAACTGTATTTTAATTCATATTGTAATAATTGCTTATGTTACTTATGTTACTATAATATAGTTACTTATGTTGTATAAGCGCTTCTGTAATTCTTATTCTTCACTTCATTCATCACTTATACTCTTATTAACTGTGTATTCTTTTACTTATTAACTTTTCTCATCTTATTTACTGTAACACTGGGTAGTACAGCTCATCCATGGATCCATCTGTCCTTAATATTAATTTTCCATTTCAGTGCATATGTAATTAAGCAGCCTATCAAGTCATGGTGGTGCATCGAAGCCATCGATTCCAAAGACACCAGCATATTAAAGTTACATTCCACTGCCAGGAGGAACATGTTCAGTGGCATTTTATTTTTTTAGGTAGCTGGAGAATGATTCATGAATCTGATTTATTTTCTAATTAACCTGCAATATATTATTGCTTTTACAAATATATCTTCCAGTTAATTTTGGCGGAATTAATAATAAGGGCGTCAAGGTCTCTTTAAAAAAAAAATGTTTATATGTTTTTAATTATTATACCTGGGTAATATAATATATATATAATATTATATATTTATATAAATATATATATAAATATAGACGAAGAGAGAGAGAGAGAGAGAGAGAGAGAGAGAGAGAGAGAGAGTAAGAGCGAGCACGAGAGAAAACGAGCTTGACAGTGCGTCTTGCAATAGGAATCTGTTGTATTGGATTAAATACACATTATTTTCGTCTATACAAGTCGACTATACATTTATTCAATTCACAATTTTCATGTGCTTATATATTTTGTTTTTTACTATTTTGTATTTCATTGTGCATAATACAAATGCATGATTACTTTGGCGCCTTAAATAGTCATGCTAATAAAATTTGTTAAATAAGTTGCTGTTGAGTGATTGATTACTTAAAACGTGCTTTCCTGTTGTTTGACAAACTAGTGAATGCGTGCTCCACAGAATAGTCTAGCTAGCTAACAATATATAGTGAGCACATGGTAAGTTAGTGGAACGGTCACGCCCGTCCCGTCAAAGGATACATGGAAGATAGGTTAGTACATGTGTACTGGGTGTTGTTACATAGGAGTATGGCTAAGTGTGCGACTACAACCATGGCATATTTTGCAATCATGCACACACATACATATATTATGCGTACGTATTTATGCACGCTTATCTGTCTATAGTAGCGGCCGCCCTGCATTTATATAGTTACGCATGCACGCACACACAAATATATACTAATGTATATATACGTCACGCACCACACACATACGTTACACCGCACATGCACGCACGCACACACACACACACACACACACACACGCTACACGCACATGCACGCACACACACGCGCGCGTGCTCTCTTTCTCTCTCTCGTCTCTCTCCTCTCTCTCTCTCTCGCCTCTCTCATCTCTCTCTAATCTCATCTTCTCCTCTCTCTCTCCTCTCTCTCTCTCTCTCTCTCTCTCTCTCTCCTCTCTCTTCTCGTCTTCTCTGTCCCTCCTTTCTCTCTTCTTCCTCTTCTCTACTCTTTTTTCTCTCTCTCTCTCATCTCTCTCTCTCTCTCTCTCTCTCCCGCTCTCTCTCTCTCTCTCTCTCTC